TGTGTCAAATGTTAAAGGGTATATGGAGTAAAACAAGAAAAAACATGAAGAATGATTTTTAGTATCGCTGGAGGTCTCTGCAAAATTGGGGCCACAACAATTTTGGTTGCTCAATAAATGGGATTTACTATTAATTTAAAATTAAATTAAAAATATTAAATTATTTAAAATTTAGTATTTTCAGGTTACTTCTTAGTGTTTTCTTTTGGAGAAACTGGTTCAGTAACTATATGTAGAACACTGGAAAGGAGCAAGTTTTATTTGTAGCTCCATTTGATTTATTTATTTAAATGTAACTCTTTTTTCTCTCTTTTACATTTATAGCAAAAAAATGATAATAGTCTAATTTTATGTGAGTATGTGGCATTTTGGACTCTCTTTGATTCCCTTATTCGTAATTCCATATTTATTGTCTACGTTTATCCTAAAACGATCTCAGTGTGCTTTATTTTTGCTCATTGATTTAAAATTTCTCTTTATAATTTAATTAGCTAATATATCTACTAATAATTTAAATTTAAACCATTCTTTTTCAATATAAAAGCCTAGTCTAAAATCAATATGCCTATTATTTTTCCAAGAGTGAACCATTGTTTTCTCTTGGTTACCTCTTCATTATACTATACCTCATATGTGAAACTGACTTAATAATCTTACCTTCTAGTTAGGAAATATGTCTTTGCTTTTGAAGGAAAATAATCTAGGTGAAAATAGTTATATGACATCTACTTGCATAACTGAATTTCTTTGATACCTCAAATTAACAGCTACATTGTTTTTACTTATTTTAGCAAAGCTTCTCATTGTTACCAGCAAGAAGATTAGGAACTGTTTTATTATCTTTTGATTAAAGCGTATTACTCCTCTATCAGTTTTACTTACTACTCTGAAAATTTTTTTCCTTGACATCTTTTGATGTCTTTATTAAGTGTTTTTTGTTGTTGTTGTTTTGTTTTGTTTTGTTTTGGAGGTGGAGTCTTGCTCTGTTACCCAGCACCGAGGCTAGAGTGCAATGGTGTGATCTTGGCTCACTGCAACCTTCGCCTCCCAGATTCAAGATATTCTCCTGCCTCAGCCTCTCTAATAGCTGGGATTACACACACTTGCCATCACGCCCGGTTCATTTTTGTATTTTTGTAGAGTTGGGGTTTCACCATGTTGGCCAGGCTGGTCTTGAACTCCTGACTCAGATGATCCACCTGCCGCGATTTCTTAAGCTAGTGTAACTTTTATAACTTTATTGACATTTATTTGAAAAATACATGATTCTGTCTTATATTTATAGGTTACTGTTTTTCATTTTTCTCTTTAAAATATGTCTATGAGGTGGGGGCTTATCCAGGATTTTCCTGTTCTTCAGTTAGAAAACATAAAGTGCCTACGTAGTTTATATAGCATGGTGGTTCTTGTGGACTCTGGAACTTGACTGCTTGGGTTTGAATAATAACATTGCTATTTCCCAGTGTTGTTATCTTGAGCCAAATATATAATCTCTCAGTGCTCGAGTTTTCTCACTTGAGAAATGAGAATGATAATAGTATTATCTACATTAGAGCTGTGAAGTTTATTTAGGTTAGTGCATAGTAAACCCTCAGTAATTGGTACTGTTGATATTGTTATTGCCATCTAGTGACTGCAGATGAATCAAGAGTTAAAGTAGTAGTACAGCACCAGAGTCAAGAGGGACCCAGCCGTGTCAGTGCTTTCTAATATTCTTTTTTTTTTTTTTGAAACGGAGTCTTGCTCTGTTGCCCAGGCTGGAGTGCAGTGGCGTGATCTCTGCTCACTGCAGGCTCCACCTCCTGGGTTCATGCCATTCTCCTGCCTCAGCCTCCCGAGTAGCTGGGACTACAGGCACCCGCTACCACGCCCGGCTAATTCTTTGTATTTTTAGTAGAGACGGGGTTTCACCATGTTAGTGAGGGTGGTCTCGATCTCCTGACCTTGTGATCTGCCCACCTCAGCCTCCCAAAGTGCTGAGATTATGGGCATGAGCCGCTGCACCCGGCTATATTCTTTTCTCTGTGTGTGTGTGTGTGTGTGTGTATGAATGTATGAATGTATGATATATATTAAGCAGAATTAATGGGTTTTATTATTCAAATTTTTCTGTTGCAGTCTGTATTATACCTTTTTCTTAGTGAATTAAATTAAGAACTGCTAGAAAATACGTTTCATATTCTGTAATCATTAATAAGATACTATTTTAATTCTTAGTTATATCTGCAATAAACTGATGAGTATTTTTTAACATATATGAAATGTAGAATTATATCACTGTATACACTGAGATATCAGTATTCATTTTTTTGGCTTGCAGTCACAAAATTCTGAATCATAAATCCATAAAAATGTATAGCTGGAAATGTTCTGTTCTATAGGCCTCTAAATATGCAGCTACATGATTTTATTAATGTTATACAAACGCTAGGGGATTGAGTTTCATTAGTAGGAAGAACAGAGATTTTTAATGCATTGCATTACCTCACTTTCAGTCCTATTAGTCTCTGGATGGAGTAAACTGAAAATAGCATGCAGTCTTGTCATACCAGTGTGTGACTCTATAGGAAAGGCAAGCAATGGTTACATTTTATCTAAATAAACTCATGAGAAGAACATTTGAATTCTTTATATGGTTAAGTTCTTTAAAGGCTCTTTTATAATTCAGTTTTGCTATAGGAACTGTTAACACAATTAAGGGTTTTTTTTTTTTTAAATGTGCTGTATTTTTTGGCACTCTCTAACTTTATTTTTTCATTGATACATAGTATTTTGTACATGTCTGTGGGGATACTTGTGATATTTTTTACATGCATAGAATGTGTAATGATCAAGTCAGAGTATTTGGGAGTTATCCCATCACCTTGAGCATTTATCATTTCTTCTGGCTATTTTGGTTTTGGTTTTGGGTTTTTTTGTTTTTGTTTTTGTTTTTGTTTTAGACGGGGCCTCTCTCTTGCCCAGGCTGGAATGCAGCGATGCGATCACAGCTCATTGTAGCCTTGACCATTTGAGATTAAGTGATCTTCCCACCTCACCCTCCTGAGTAGCTGGAACCCCAGGCATGCACCACCACACACAGTTAATTATATGTAGAAAACGGGGTCTATGTTTTCCGGGCTGGTCTTGAACTCCTGGGCTCCAGTGACCCTCCCACCTTGGCCTCCCAAAGTCCTAGGATTATAAGCATGAGCCACTGTGCCTGGCCTCTTCTAGCTATTTTGAAATATACAATATATTGTTGCTAACTGTAGTCACCTTAGTCTGCTCTCAAACCTTAGAACTTATTTCTTTCATGTAATTTTGTGTTTGTACCCATTAACTATGTCTTTAAAAAAAAGAAGACTTCTGTGTAGGCAGATTCATATGATTTATTTTTGAAAATGTGAAGTTTTATGTTACTAATCTTGTTAATAAAAGAAACTAAAATTTATTGAATATTTGCTGTATTTTGGCATCATACTGTGAACTTTACATGCATTATCTTATTTAAATCTCAAACTTCTCTGATATGTCTTCATCATTTAGTAGATGGAGAAGCTAGAACTCAAGTAAGATTAACCTCTTGCCCAGAGTCAGGCTATTCACTTCTATGGGTAAAATCCAAACTGTGTACTTCTAAGAATACGTCCCATGCTTTAACCTTTGAGGTTCTTTCAGTACTAAGTAATTAATCATTTTGTATATTTGCATATAGAACCATTCTAATTAGTAATCTCAATTTCTTAAATTTTGTAGGGTAGAAAGAATATAATTTTGTTGTTGTTGTTGTTGTTTGTTTTTTGAGACAGAGTCTCACCCTGTCACCCAGGCTGGAGTGCAGTGGTGTGATCTCAGCTCACTGCAATCTCCATCTCCCAAGTTCAAGTGATTCTACTGCCTCAGCCTCCCAAGTAGCTGGGATTACAGGAGCGTGCCACCACACCCAGCTAATTTTTTTATTTTTAATAGAGATAGGGTTTCACCATGTTGGTCAGGCTGGTCTTGAACACCTGACCCCAGGTGATCCGCCCACCTTGGCCACCCACAGTGCTGAGATAACAGGCATGAGTGACCATGCCTGGACTAAGCATGTTTATAGTAGAAATAGAGAAAAAGAATTTACAAAAAGTAAATCGTAATGTATACAGTTGGTGTATATGTCATGTGATTTTCAGTTGTTGATAGTTTTTTATGTAGGGCTTATTTAAAGATGGGAGGGAGATAGGAATGATGAAATGGTAAGATAGAAATGCCAAGATAGAGGAAGTAAAAGATAGTCTACGCTTCTGGATGTTTTTTTAGGGTTAGATAGAATGTATAGAGGATATAATCACATAAAAAGAACCAGTGGAGAAAGCATATTATGTTTGATCAGAGCAGAAGAAGCTAGTATATTGGTTTTGGGTTACAAAGGCAAGATTATTGTTATTTTACCATTTATTTTATTCTTTTGATAGTTCTGTTTTTCACATGAGGTTTGATTATAATATTTTGAAGCTGGGAGGGACTCGAGATAATATATAAATAGCTAGCCTTCATCACCTCGTTTTTATAGATGAGGAATCTTGAGTGATTGATTATAAGGTAACTGTCCAAGAACACATAGCTTTTTAATGGCATAACAGGGTCTGTTAACCATAGACTTTGATTGCATGCTTGTGCTCTTTTCCCAATAGTGTAAATTTTCTTTTCCGTAGAGTTCCCCAAACCTGATTAACCTATCTGAAAATGAAATATAAACAAGTAAATTTATATAGACACCTGCCTTGTGATTATCCCCTGTTGATATTATTTCTTGGTTTATGTGTTTGAGGTGGTGAATTGAAGTGGTAAATTGCTTAAACATTTGCTGATATGTTGTGGGTTGTCTATTTGATCTTTAATGATTGGCAGTAAATGTTTTCTTTGCTTAGAAATTAGAAATACTGGGCTTATGTATGATATACTTTAGATTTAGTTTTTCAGTTGTTAAAATTATGTAAATACTGAAATCACATTTTTCTCTCTTCATTTTGCAGTAGTATTATTGATTCCACAGAATACAGCCAACCTCCAGGTTTCAGTGGCAGTTCTCAGGTAAACAATATCTTTGTTTTAATGATACCACAAGTATAATTGTCTGAGTTATAAAGTCATAGATTAGTTTACTTAAGTGTCCTGTCGCAAAGACAACCATTTTGAATGCAGTGGTGTTGATTAGCACTTGAATAGCTCTTATGCACAATGGCAGAATCAAATATTAATATTTGCTTTTTCAATGATAATAACTTAAATTTATTTTCTTCACCAAATTGTGATGGAACAAATCTAAAGGGTTTTGCTTTGTTTTTGTTTTTTTGAGACACACTGTCACGCAGGTTGGAATGCTGTAGCCTTGACCTCCTAGGCTCAAGCAATCCTCCTACCTCAGCCTCTCAAGTAACTGGGTCTATGGGAGTGCACCACCATGCCCAGCTAATTTTTGTACTTATTGTAGAGATGGGATTTCACCATGTTGTCCAGACTGGTCTCAAACTCCTGGACTCAAGCGATCTGTCTGCCTCACCCTCCCAGAGTGGTAGGATTGCAGGTGTAAGCCACTATCCCTGGCATTTTTTTAAAACTTAATTTCAGAACCTGAGAGGAAGGAAATACTTTAGGAAAAAAAAAATGCATAATAAGGACATAGTTTATCTTAGAGATATGAAAATTATAAATCTGTCATTGAATTATGCTTCACTATGTTGAAACTTACACCTTTTCCATGGAATAAAGACTATAGTCTTGAGTAAAATAGGTATCAGCTTTACCTCTTTTAATTAGTTGTATGATTATTTTGAACTTTACTCTCTTCATCTTTGACTTGGAGATACTGATATCTGTCAAGCTTATTTTTGAGGCCTAATATGCTTTTTTTAACTTTTTATTTTTATATTTTATTTTATATTTTTGAGACAGAGTCTCGCTCTGAATCCGGGCTGGAGTGCAGTGGCACCATCTCGGCTCACTGCAACCTCCACCTCCCGGGTTCAGGTGATTTTCCTGCCTCAGCCTCCCGAGTAGCTGGGACTACAGGCATGTGCCACCACACCCAGCTGATTTTTTGTAGTTTTAGTAGAGACGGGGTTTCACCATGTTGGCCAGGATGGTCTCCATCTCTTGACCTTGTGATCCTCCCTTCTTGACTTCTCCAAGTGCTGGGATTATAGGCGTGAGCCAGTGCGCCCAGGCATTTTTAATTTTTATTTTTGAGATGGAGTCCTGCTCTGTCACCCAGACTGGAGTGCAGTGGTATGATCTTGGCTCACTGCAACCTCTGCCTTCCGGGTTCAAGCAATTCTCCAGCTTCAGCCTCCCGAGTGGCTGGGACTACAGGCGTGCACCACTGCGTCCGGCTAATTTTTGTATTTTTAGAAGAGACGGGGGTTTCACCATGTTGGCCAGGTGGGTCTCAAACTCCTGATCTCAGGTGATCTGCCCACCTCGGCCTCCCAGAGTGCTGGGATTACAGTAATGAGCCCTGCTCCCGGCTGTGTTTTTAAACTTTTTATATTGAAATAAGTTTTGACTTAGAGAAAAATTACAAAAATACTACAAAGAATTCCTTTATAGTTTGTATCCAGATTGTCTAAACACTTAACATTTTATCACCTTTGTTTTATCATTCTCATTCAGCCTTTCTTTTACATATATATACATATAATTTCTTTTCTGGATTGTTTGAGTAAGGTACACACATATGTTTCTTTACCCTTAAATACTTCAGCATGTATTTCCTTAGGAACAAGGATATTGTCTTATGTAATCACAATATAACTTTAAAATTCAGGCAGTTAATATCGATACAATATTATTTCTAAATTCTAGATTTTCAGATTTTAAGAATTACCCTAATATTGCCTGGGCAACATGGTGAGACCCTGCCTCTACAAAAAATAAAAAAAATTAGTTGGGCATGGTGGCATGTGCTTGTGGTTTCAGCTACTCAGGAGGCTAAGGTGGGAGGATACCTTGAACCCAGGAGGCCGTGGTTACAGTGAGCTGAGATCATGCCAGTATACTCCAGCCTGGGTGACAGAGTCAGACCCTGTCTCCCCGCCACCCCATCCCACCCCCCAAAAAAAAGAATTACCCTAATATCCTTTATAGTAAAACAAAAAACAGTGAGGTATTTTTAATGAACATTTATTTGTATATTCACTTTATTTTAAAAAATATTATACCTATTTTTATCTAAGTGAACAGTAAATCCTTTTGGATTATATCACTTCTGTTTTACTTGTCTCCAAACTTGGACGACTACCTTGTTACTTTTATGATTAGTTTATGTGACTACTCTGTACATCATCCCGTATTATGTTCATGTACAATACATACATTTGGCCTATTCTTTTTTATAGTGAGTTTGCAGATTAGTTTGTGTCTGTTTCTGAACAGCCATGAAAATACCAGATTCAATTATTTTTATATGACATAATGGAATACATTAGGATAAAATTTAAAGCCTTAAATTGAAATATACTCTAGGAACTTGAGAGAGAATAGCAGTCCCTGTATCTGGAAACTGGCTTAGCATTTATAACTAGCCATTTATGTTCTCCTTCTGAACATAATTTCATAGAACATCAACATCAGACAAGGCTACTCTCTTGGAATATTATTCAGCCATAAAAAAGAATGAAATCTTGTCATTTGCAGCAACATGGATGGAACTGAAGATCATTAAATTAAGTGAAATGAGCCAGGAACCAAAAGACAATCAAACATATTGTCAGTCTTAAATGGGAGCAAAAAAAGTGGATCTCATGGAGGCAGAGCGTGGAATGGAGATAGTAGGCAGAGAAGGGAAAGGTATGGGGGTGGGGATGGAGAGAAGTTGCTTAGTGGGTACAAAAATATAGTAAGTTTGGGTGAATGAGTTCTAGTATTTGATAATACAGTAGGGAAGTTATAGTTAATACTTTATTGTATATTTCAGAATAGCTAGAAGAGAAGAATTGCAGTGTTTCCAACACAAGAAATGATAAATGTTTGAGAATATAGAAATCCCAGTTACCCTAATTGATTATTACATTGTATTTGTCTATCGAAATAATACATGTACCCCCCACAGATATGCACAACCACGATATAGCAACTTTTCTAAAAAGAAATTGAATCTGGAGGAAAAAGAAAAACAATCAGAATCTTTTTTTTGAAATATTTTGGAGTAGCACTTACTTTTATGTGGTGAAGGAGACTTTTGGTTTGAGATAGTACTCCGAGACAGTGTGTTAATATCGTCTCATCCCCTCCCGCAAGAAATGCTATTGCTATATTGCTCTCCTCACACCCAAAACTTAGAAGAATTTATAGATGATTAAAAGAGAAAATACGGAGTAAGAGCTGCCTAATCTGTGAGTCACTATATGCATGGTAAATGCATGCTTAAGGATTAAATGACAAGTCTCCTAGGAGAATTCTTAGCATCTGTTAGAGGACTGGGTAGTTTTTGAGGAGGAAACCATACTAGTGTTGAGATGGAGCTGACATGATACATTGCACTGAAGGCCTTACCCTTCATTTCTAGCTGTGCTCCAAATAATAGCTAGACCTAAAATAAATTGACACAAGAACAATTGAAATAGTGGATAGTCGAGTATAAGCCTGGCAAATCCAAACTAAAGAATACTGTAAAACTAAAAAAAACTCCAAAAGTATGAATAAAATAGGACAGTGTTTCCACGTAAATAAAAGGTATATTTTCCAAAAGTAGTAAAACTTTGTATCACGAAGGATTGGAATTTATGTAAAGCAAAATCTGTTAGAAATTAAATAATTAGGGGCTGGGCGTGGCGGCTCACGCCTGTAATCCCAGCACTTTGGGAGGCCAGGGCAGGCGGATCGTGAGGTCAAGAGATCGAAACCATCCAGGCCAAAATGGTGAAACCCTGTCTCTACTAAAAATACAAAAAAATTAGCTGGGCATGGTGGTGCACGCCTGTAGTCCCAGCTACTTGGGAGGCTGAGGCAGCTAAATTCCTTCAACCCGGGAGGTAGTGGTTGTAGTGAGCCAAGATTGCACCATTGCACTCCAGCCTGGCGACAGAGCAAGACTCCGTCTGAAAAAAAATTAATAATAATTAGGTAGCATGTATTTTGCAGTTACTTTTCATAGACAGTGTTTGAACTATTCATATGTATTAACTAACTTTCAGAACTACTCTGTGAGATAAATACTACTATTATTATTATTTTTATTTTTTGAGGCGAGGTCTCGCTCTGTTGCCCAGGCTGGAGCGCAGTGGCTCCATCTTGGCTTACTGCAACTTCCGCCTCCCGGGTTCAGGTGATTCTCCTGCCTCAGCCTCCTGAGTAGCTGGGACTACAGACACACACCACCACACCCAGCTAATTTTTGTATTTTTAATAGAGACGAGGTTTCACCATGTTGGCCAGGATAGTCTCGATCTCTTGATCTCATGATCTGCCTGCCTCAGCCTCCCAAAGTGCTGGGATTGCAGATGTGAGCCTCTGTACCCTGCTGATAAATACTATTATTATTTTTTATTGAAAAGGAAACTGGTACACAGAGAAGTTATGGAGGTTGACTCAGTTAATATAGCTAGTAAGAGGAGGGAGCTGAGATTTAAACCCAGATGTTGTGGCTTCAGAGTCTTTGCTTTTAAATACTCAATTTACTCAAGCAGCAGGTTTTGGAGGTTTTGTTGTTGTTGTCAGTTTTTTGTTTTTTGTCTTAAACGTACCTGATATTTACGAGGCTCTGAGGACAAAAGAACAAACAGAGACAAACAGAGACAGTCTAGAAAAGAGTAAATGAAGACTCCTCTGAGTACCTGTGTGTTCGAAAATCAGTGCATTCAAAAAATACTGCTAGTGGAAGTATTATTTATCAAAAATTTCTGGAATGTGGTCAGAATTGTACTAAACATTCGTAGTCTTGAATGCTTTCATTTTTAGATAAGAATGAAAATAAATGAGCTTTTTATTTACCCAAGAGGCTACATTATCACTAGATGATAAATATAGAAAGACCAAAAAAAAGCCCATATACAACGTAAGTTGAAATTAGCTATTATGATACTGAGTACATTAAA